AAAACTTCCTTGTGCATGTGGACTAAATGACATGTTGATGGATGGACACTGATTGATGGATGTAGACTGGGAGGATGAACACACATACATGGACAGACAGACACACCTGGTGTGGTAATGGATGGCTTCCCCTCCCTCTTCCACATCTCTGGGGGTGATGATGCAGATCAGTGTACACAGCTCAAGGACCTGGGGAAGCATATCCTCCCTCTAGAATATACCTGTTCAGTGTGATCCCTGTCCCATCCCCTCCCCCTCCTCTGTGTGCAGGTATGGCCAGACCAAGACTCCTCGGCTCACTTTCCCCCAGGACCCTCACTTACATCAGCAACAGTGTCTCAATCCAGACAGTATGCAGGCCCCCCTTACACTCCCGGCCAGTCAGCTCAGCAGGGTCCCAGTACAGACAACACGTCCTCTTCCGGCCCCTTCCGTTGTCAGCAGGAAGCTGGAAAGTACAGCACTTGAGGAAGAGCAGCTGTGTAGGAAGAAGTTACATCTTCCTCCTCTGAATGTCGGGTCCTCCAAGTACCCGATTGGTTGTTAGGTTACTAGGTTAGCCTAGCAACCAATATTTTTGACAAGTGGGACTTGGGAGACTGGTAAATATACAGGTGGAAGCCAGTTAATCCCGCTCCGTGGAAGTTCCACCACTGGCGCAGGCTTAAGGGGCAGCTGCTTTGGGCCCCACAAGGACTGGGTCTGGGGCAACTACCCTTTTTGCCCCATGTTTAAGACAACCCGGGTTGTGACCCTGGTAGTTCCACCACTACCCGACAGCCTAATTTAGCAGTGGGGGCACATGAGAGGGCAAGAAAAAACCTAGGGTGGGCAACTGCCCCCTGTAGCAACTCCATTGCTGGAAAGCCTTCCACAGGTCCCAATTTGTACAGGCCTATTTCTTTATTTTAATCCGTTATAAAAATTCTCGAAAAAAAAGTTTGGCTACACACTTGAACAAGGTTACTCTTCATATTATTCACCCTAAGCAGACTGGCTTCATGCCTGGCAAATTGACAGCTATCAACTTACCTCGGGTTTATCTTAATAAGCATACACCCACTGAGAACTCGCAGCCCTGTTGTCACTCGACAGGAATAAATCATTTGATAGTGTCAAATGGTGATATCTATAGGTGGTGTTGAACGCTTCGGTTTTGGGAGGGATTTATTTCATGGGTGCAGCTTCTCTATCACGCCCTGTGGGCCGCTAATCACTTGGGAGGTGTAATTTCCCCCTTATTTTTCACGGGCCCACTTTCTCCATTTTCATTTGCCCTGGCCATTGAGCCTCTCACACAGCTCATATTCATGCCTCAGAGGAGATTGTGGGTTTTTGATATGGTGCTATTCATGAAAAACTGTTATATGTGGATAACATGTTGCTGCTGTTGGTGGACATGGATGCCTCGTTTTGGGCAGCTATAGTGGTAATATTGGACTTTGGTACCTACACTGGCTTAACCATTAATTGGTCCAAGTCTGCATTACTGCCCCTAGAGGGTACAGTTAACCCAAGGGTGCATCATGAAATCAGTGGGCCCATATTCAAGAAAAACAGTGAGCCCTAGGTATTGAGGAAAATCAAAATGTGACACGCAAAGCGTGCCACGGTGAAAAAATGGGTGTGGTATAAATTGTACTAAATATTGGGTGGGGCTTAAGGGGGTGTGGTTAACGGTGGCTAGTATGTACAGGGAGAGGAGTGTGGGGTGTATGTTGATGGGTAGTATGTGCAGGGAGAGGAGTGCGGAGTGTATGGCGGTGGGTAGTATGTGCAGGGAGAGGAGTGCGGAGTGTATGGCGGTGGGTAGTATGTGCAGGGAGAGGAGTGCGGAGTGTATGGCGGTGGGTAGTATGTGCAGGGAGAGGAGTGCGGAGTGTATGGCAGTGGGTAGTAAGTGCAGCGAGAGGAGTGCGGAGTGTATGGCGGTAGGAAGTATGTGCAGGGAGAGGAGTGCGGAGTGTATGGCGGTGGCTAGTTGTCAGGAATGGACTTGCCAGTAATGGTGGGACTCACCTGCCTTGTGGGCTGCAGTACCAGGGCTGGCCAGCCGGGTGCTCCCAGCAATCAGAGACTCAACCCTGCAGCCAGCCAAACACCTGAAGTTGATTATACAGGTGTATTTAAGGGATGGCCAGACCTCCAGTCTTTGCCTTGGTGTGTGTTTTTCCTGGGCCCTGTATCTTGTTCCTGCATCCCTGTTCCTGTCCCTGTCTGATTCGTTGCTGACCCTGCCTGATCCGGACCTCTGCTGACTTCTCCTGTTTCATCCCTGGCTTGTGACCCCGACCATTCTCTGCCTGACCCCCCTGTACCTACCTGCCCGATTGTTATTGACCCGGCCTGCCTGACGACGCTTGCATTGTATGTACTGTTATCTGTGGGTGGTTGGTTTGGTTTGTTTGCACTGTGTTATGTTTTAGTATTGCACTGCGTTTATGTTTGTATTGTTAGTCTTTAATAAATTATATTGTTTATAACCTATCTGAAGTCTGCGTTTCCCTGCGTCAGTCACATACCTCTGGTCACACCCGGGAGCCCTGACATTACACCAAGGCCAATCCTGACCAGAAGTGGCTGCACAGGGAAGCCATCTTGGCTTGTTGCTGGGGAAGGATGGATCTGGATGAGGTTGTGTATTTATATCTGCTAGTGTTTGATGACAGGGGAGTATGCTTATCAAACTCTGAAGGAGCATCCCCGGGATGAACTGCTAGAATGTATACGGCTCGCTCATGTTCTAGTACAGTGGTGGGCAACCTTTTTTTTCAACTGAGCCAAATCTCGCCAAAACCATGATTGAAATTTATTTTGAGAGCCACATTTTTAAAACTGAAAATACATCTCCCATATAGTAATTCATCCCCCATAGTAATTCATCCCCCATATAGTAATTCATCCCCCATAGTGTAATTCATCCCCCTATAGTAATTCATCCCCCATATAGTAATTCATCCCCCATAGTAATTCATCCCCCATAGTAATTCATCCCCCATATAGTAATTCATCCCCCCATATAGTAATTCATCCCCCATATAGTAATTCATCCCCCAATAGTAATTCATCCCCCATATAGTAATTCATCCCCCATAGCAATTCATCCCCCGTATAGTTTTCATCCCTCGTATAGTATTTCATCCCCCGTATAGTATTTCATCCCCCATATAGTATTTCATCCCCCATATAGTATTTCATCCCTCATATAGTAATTTCATCCCCCATATAGTAATTCATCCCTCATATAGTATTTCATCCCTCATATAGTATTTCATCCCCCCATATAGTATTTCATCCCTCATATAGTATTTCATCCCCCCATATAGTATTTCATCCCCCCATGTAGTAATTTTCATCCCCTCATATAGTAATTCATCCCTCATATAGTAATTCATCCCTCATATAGTAATTCATCCCCTCATATAGTATTTCATCCCCCCATATAGTATTTCATCCCCCCATATAGTATTTTCATCCCCCCCATATAGTAATTCATCCCTCATATAGTAATTCATATCCCTCATATAGTATTTCATCCCCCATATAGTATTTCATCCCCCCATATAGTATTTCATCCCTCATATAGTAATTCATCCCTCATATAGTATTTCATCCCTCATATAGTATTTCATCCCCCATATACGTATTTCATCCCTCATAAAGTAATTCATCCCTCATATTAGTATTCATCCCCCATATAGTATTTCATCCCTCATATAGTATTTCATCCCCCCATAATAGTATTTCATCCCTCATATAGTAATTCATCCCTCATATAGTAATCATCCCTCATATAGTATTTCATCCCTCATATAGTATTTCATCCCCCCATATAGTATTTTCATCCCCCCATATAGTATTTCATCCCTCATATAGTAATTCATCCCTCATATAGTATTTTCATCCCTCATATAGTATTTCATCCCACATATAGTATTTCTTCCCCCCATATAGTATTTCATCCCCCCATATAGTATTTCATCCCTCATAAAGTAATTCATCCCTCATATAGTATTTCATCCCCCACAGTACTAATTCCCCCCCCCCCCTTCTAGTAAGCCAAGTCCCCCGTGTCAATTCACTTACCTTTTGCGTTCCTCTCGCTGTCTTCCCGCGCCGTTCGGGTCTTCAGGGCGGACTGTGAGAGGAGCCTAGCTCCCCTCCCCTCACCGTTCGGCACGCTGCCCCGCCTACACACATCCTGACAGCCACATCCGCAGGCCGGATTAAAAGGTCCGCGCGGACTTTTGGGGCTGCCAACCGAGAGGAGGCAGGGGAGCGGCCGACCGCGAGGAGGGAGGGGAGCAGGCGCCCGCACACAGAAGAGCCCATTAGACTGGGTAAAGAGCCGCATGTGGCTCGCGAGCCGCGGCTTGCCGACCACTGTTTCTAGTAGATCAGGGCACAGAGTTCTCTGAGGTGCAGCCATGATTCAGGTTTGTGCTGAGTTGGTTTCATCTGGTACCCCCGAATGCAGGGATGAATTTTTGCCGCCATTTAGTGCAGACCAGGTAGAGTCCCTGGTGTGGTTATTAGAGGATGATGGGGATTGCTTCTTGGAGCGTTATTCCACATGTTCACCACAGGTACTAAGAGATTGTATAAACGCAGTGCAGTCATTGGTCAGACAGGCTTTGTGTAAGCTGAGCTTTGTTCAACCCATACTGCAGACATGGACAGACTTGTTGCACCCAGCCTCAGTCAGCTTACAACATCATTCCTCCGCTCAAGGCACTCTTCCTGCATCCTCGACAGCACCCCCAGTGACTGCCCAGTATACTCTAACTACCACATACCAGTCCTCTGCTCCCACTCGCTGCACCTATCCTGCCTTTAACCCTGTAAAGAAAGTCCTCTGTAGCAACTGTTCCCTCCCCTGTTCCATCCTCCAGCTCTTCTCTGTCCTCAGCTGCTCCATTCGTTTGCAGACCTGCGTTTACTTGCAGTGCTCCAGTAGTTAAAACCAGAAAAAAGCGGAAATTCTTTCCAACCAATACCATCCTGCCAGTATCCAAACCGGTGAACCTGCTGTCTGAGAACCTGCCTTCCGTGGTTCAGCCTGGTGCCTCGGCACCCGCACTTCAGCCCGATGTCTGTACCCAGCCTGATGTCTGTACCCAGCCTGATGATCCTATCATGCCTGATGACCCAGTGCCCACTGTCATGCCTGGTGACCCGATGCCCGCTGTCGAGCCAGACGATCCAATGTCTGATGAACCGGTGCCCGCTGTCATGCCTGGGTGACCCGATGCCCGCTGTTGAGCCAGACAATCCAGCGCCAGATGACCCGGAGCCCGCTGTCGTGCCAATTGACTCAGAGCCCACTGTTGTGCCTGGTGACTCGGTGCCCACTGCCTTGCCGATGATGCGGTGCCCGCTGTCGAGCCAAATGACCTGATGCCTGGTGACCCGATGCCCGCTGTCGGGCCAGACGATCCAATGTCTGACCCAGTGCCCGCGGTCATGCCAGTTGACTCGGAGCCCACTGTCATGCCTGGTGACTCGGTGCCCACTGCCTTGCCAGATGCCGTGGTGCCCGCTGGCGAGCCAAATGACCTGATGCCTGGTGACCCAGTGCCCGCTGTCATACCTGGTGACCCGATGCCCGCTGTCGAGCCAGACAATCCCATGCCTGGTGACCCGATGCCCGCTGTCGGGCCAGACGATCCAATGTCTGACCCAGTGCCCGCGGTCATGCCAGTTGACTCGGAGCCCACTGTCGTGCCTGGTGGCTCGGTGCCCACTGCCTTGCCAGATGACGTGGTGCCCACTGGCGAGCCAAATGACCTGATGCCTGGTGACCCAGTGCCCGCTGTCATGCCTGGTGACCCGATGCCCGCTGTCGAGCCAGACGATCCGGTACCTATGACCCGGTGCCCGCTGTTGTGCCAATTGACTCAGAGCCCACTGTCGTACCTGGAGACTCGGTGCCCACTGCCTTGCCAGATGACGTGGTGCCCGCTGTCGAGCCAAATGACCTGATGCCTGGTGACCCGATGCCCGCTGTCGAGCCAGACGATCCAATGTCTGACCCAGTGCCCGTGGTCATGCCAATTGACTCGGAACCCACTGTCGTGCCAGATGACGCGGTGCCCGCTGGCGAGCCAAATGACCTGATGCCTGGTGACCCAATGCGCGTTGTCATGCCTGATGACCCGGTGCCCGCCGCTCCTCCTGGGGGCCCGGCGCTCCTCCTGGGGGGCCCGGCGCCCGCCGCTCCTCCGGGGGGCCTGGCGCCCCGCCTGGGGGCCTGCCGCCCGTCGCCCCGCCTGGGGGCCCGCTGCTCTGCCTGGGCGCCCGCCGCTCCGCCTGGGGGCCCGATGCCCGCCGCTCCGCCTGGGGGCCCGCCGCTCCGCCTGGGGGCCCGATGCCTGTCGCCCCGCCTGGGGGCCCGCTGCTGCTCCGCCTGGGGGCCCGATGCCCGCCGCTCCGCCTGGGGGCCCGGCGCCCGCCGTCCCTCCTGGGGGCCCGGCGCCCGCTGCTCCGCCTGGGGGCCCGGCGCCCGTCGCCCTGCCTGGGGGGCCCGCTGCTCCACCTGAGGGCCCGATGCCCGTCGCCCCGCCTGGGGACCCGGCACCCGTCACCCCGCCCGGGGGCCCGGCGCCCGCCCGGGGGCCCGGCGCCTGCCGCCTGGGGGCCCGACGCCTGTCGCTCGCTCCGCCTGGGGGCCCGTCGCCCCGCCTGGGGGCCCGGCGCCCCGCCTGGGGGCCCAGCGCCTGTCGCCCCTCGCCCCTCCTGGGGCCCGGCGCCCGCCGCTCCACCTGGGGCCCCCGGCGCCCGCTGCTCCCCGCCTGGTGATCCGGTGTCCAGCTCGATGTGCCGCTGCCCGGAGTCCTGTCCGATGTGCCGCTGCCCGGAGTCCTGCCCGATGTGCCGCTGCCCGGAGTCCAGCTTGATGTCCTCTGCCCGATGTGCCGCTGCCCGGAGTCCTGCCCGGTGTGCCGCTGCCCGGAGTCCTGCCCGGTGTGCCGCTGCCCGAAGTCCTGCCCGGTGTGCCGCTGCCCGAAGTCCTGCCCGATGTGCCAGTCTTTGATATCCCGCCAGTTACCAGACCCGGGCGGTGGAACATTTTGCCCAGCTAGGACTGTTTGGAGCGTCCTGAGGCCGCTCCTTGAGGGGGGGGTACTGTCAGGAATGGACTTGCCAGTAATGGTGGGACTCACCTGCCTTGTGGGCTGCAGTACCAGGGCTGGCCAGCGGGTGCTCCCAGCAATCAGAGACTCAACCCTGCAGTCAGCCAAACACCTGAAGTTGATTATACAGGTGTATTTAAGGGATGGCCAGACCTGCAGTCTCTGCCTTGGGGTGTGTGTTTTTCCTGGGCCCTGTATCTTGTTCCTGCATCCCTGTTCCTGTCCCTGTCTCTGTCTGATTCGTTGCTGACCCTGCCTGATCTGGACCTCTGCTGACTTCTCCTGTTTCATCCCTGGCTTGTGACCCCGACCATTCTCTGCCTGACCCCCTGTACCTACCTGCCCGATTGTTATTGACCCGGCCTGCCTGACGACGCTTGCATTGTATGTATGTATTATCTGTGGGTGGTTTGGTTCGTTTGCACTGTTATGTTTAGTATTGCACTGCGTTTATGTTTGTATTGTTAGTCTTTAATAAATTATATTGTTTATAACTTATCTGAAGCCTGCGCTTCCCTGCGTCAGTCACATACCTCTGGTCACACCCCGGCGCCCTGACACTAGTATGTGCAGGGAGAGAAGTGCGGAGTGTATGGCAGTGGCTAGTATGTGCAGGGAGAGGAGTGCAGAGTGTATGGCAGTGGGTAGTATGTGCAGGGAGAGGAGTGCAGAGTGTATGGCAGTGGGTAGTATGTGCAGGGAGAGGAGTGCAGAGTGTATGGCGGTGGCTAGTATGTACAGGGAGAGGAGTGCGGAGTGTATGTTGATGGGTAGTATGTGCAGGGAGGAGTGCGGAGTGTATGGCGGTGGGTAGTATGTGCAGGGAGTGGAGTGCGGAGTGTATGGCAGTGCGTAGTAACTGCAGCGAGAGGAGTGCGGAGTGTATGGCGGTGACTAGTATGTACAGGGAGAGGAGTGCGGAGTGTATGGCGGTGACTAGTATGTGCAGGGAGAGGAGTGCAGAGTGTATGGCGGTGACTAGTATGTACAGGGAGAGGAGTGCGGAGTGTATGGCGGTGACTAGTATGTGCAGGGAGAGGAGTGCGGAGTGTATGGCGGTGGGTACTATGTGCAGGCATAGGAGTGTATGGCGGTGGGTACTATGTGCAGGCATAGGAGTGTATGGCGGTGGGTACTATGTGCAGGCATAGGAGTGTATGGCGGTGGGTAGTATGTGGAGGGAGAGGAGTGCTGAGTGTATGGCGGTGGGTAGTATGTGCAGGGAGAGGGGTGCGGAGTGTGTGGTGGTGGGGGTAGTGTGTACAGGGAGAGGAGTGCGGAGTGTATGGCGGTGGGTAGTATGTACATAGGCATCTTCTAATTGTAACAGTACTCACAGGTAACTTTAGGCCCAAAAAGAACAATCTTACTTTCATCAGTCCACAAAATGTTGCGCCATTTCTCTTTAGGCCAGTCAATGTGCTCTTTGGCAAATTGTAACCTCTTCAGCACACGTCTTTTTCCCAACAGTGGGACTTTGCGGGGGCTTCTTGCAGATAGCTTGGCTTCACATAGGCGTCTTCTAATTGTAACAGTCCTCACAGGGAACGTCACACCTTCTTTCATCTTCCTGGAGCTGATTGTTGGCTGAGTCCGCGCCATTTTGGCTATTCTTCATTCCAATGGTAGTTTTTCGCTTTCTTCCACGTCTTTCAGGTTTTGGTTGCCATTTTAAAGCATTTGCCATCATTTTAGCTGAGCAGCCAATCATTCTCTGCACTTCTTTATATGTTTTCCCCTCTCCAATCAACATTTTAATCAAGGTACGCTGTTCTTCTGAACAATGTCTGGAACGACCCATTTTCCTCAGAATTTCAGAGAGAAATGCACTGTAACCAGCATGTACAACATTTGCTGCCTTCCTTCCTTAAGTAAGGGCAATAATTGCCACCTGTTTTTCAAAGAATGAATGACCTCACTAATAGAACTCCACACTGCTATTATTTTGAACACGCCCCTTTCAATGAGTGATTCAATGACACAGAATCAGCAGCATGCATGTCATGACTGTTGGGTCTGTTGGATTTCTATTACTCTACTACACCTGCTAGTAAATTATTTGCCATGTAGAAATATCATTTCTACCAAAAACAGGGATTGATCCAGTTAGTGATGTCTGACTGCTATTATTTTGAACACAACTGTATATACCATGGTCTGTGGACTCTATAACTTTTAACACAGACTAAATAATACACACTGATTTGGGTTATTTCTACCAAACAAAGGTAGCACAATGGATTTTGGCCTAATTTTTATGAAGAAAGTATATTTATTTGCAAAATTTAGTAACAAAAACTAAGAAAAACATGTTTTGTTTTCAAAATTTTCAGTCTTTTTTCACTTTTCTAGCAAAAAAATAAAAACCCCAGTGGTGATTAAATACCACCAAATGAAATCTCTATTTGTGTGAAAAAAATGATAAAAATTTCATTTGGATACAGTGTTGTATGCCTGAGTAATTTACATTCACAATGTGATAGCGCTGAAAGCTGAAAATTGGCCTGGACAGGAAAGGAGTAAAAGTGTCCGGTCTGGAAGTGGTTAATGAAACAGCAAAATAACAGTTCAAGAACATAGTCAAAAACAGAGGCCAGGGTTTGGATGCCAGGGTGGGTAATCAGATGAGCCAGGGTCAGGAATCCAGATGTCGGCATAGCCAGGAGCAAAAACCAGAAACAGGAATCGGAAGAATGTCAGCCAGATTGAGCTGTACACTGGAACACAGGCAGGAACACACTGGAGATCAGACCATGCAAGGGCAAGGAAGAAATGAGCTAAGCTGCTAAACAAGCAAAAAGGTATGGCTGTGGGCTGGACTAATGAGGGAGGTAATGGTATCCAGATGAGTCACTGTGGAGACAAGGGGCTGGTAATTAATCAACAGCCGAGCAGCTTCTGGGCACTGAAAGAAAAAAGCTGCTTGTTAATTAGCAGGAGACCAGCCCTGATACAGTGTTACAGGAGGGGGGGCAGTGGGATAGGAGGGGGGCAGTGGGATAGGAGGGGGGCAGTGGAACAGGAGGAGCAGAGAGACAGGAAGGGGAAGCCAGACAGGAGGGGGCAACGAGATGGGGGGTGGAGTAGGAAAAGAGGACAGGAGATGGGACAGCGAGACAGGAGGAAGGCAGCAGGACAGGAGGAGGGCAGTGTTCCAGGAGGGGAGCAGCAAGATTGGGGGGCATCATGGGATGGAGGCAGCAGGAACGGAGGAAGGCCATGTTACAGAAGGGAGGCAGCGGGACAGGAGGAGGCAGAGTAACAGGAAGTAGGAAGCGGGACATGAGGGAAAAATTGGGACACAAAGGAAGAAGCAGGATAGGAGGGAGGCAGTGGGACAGGAGAAGGGCAGTGTGTCAGGAACCATAAACCAGGTAGAGACAGAAAGTGCAGTTCAGGAACATAGTCAAAAACAGAAGCCAGGGTTTGGATGCCAGGGTGGGTAATCAGATGAGCAGGGGTCAGGAAACCAAGAAGTCAGTGTAGCCAGGAGCCAAAACCAGGAACAGGAATCAGAAATGGTCAGCCAGACCAAGTTGTACACAGGAACACACTGGAG